AAATCTGCGGTTTTATAGTGATTGTTTTTTATGGGTTTTTGACAACTTTTTACATTGAAATAAGCATTTTTCTATGCTAAACTATTAATAACAACAATGTATTACTGTAATTATAACATTATTATTATTATTATGTTACTCATATCCTTAGCCCGACATCCACATATCATATGTGTTTACAAAGTGTTTTAATAAGTTTACATGTGTTTAAAGTGCATCGGAGGGGTATTTTAAGGCTTAAACTATATTAAAAAAATGTTTTTGATATGGTCTTTTTATATTGTGGATTTTCACCTTTCGCTGATGGTTCTGGAAGTAACGTCCGCGATAGGTGGGGATCACTGTAATTTGAACATTTATTTATTTAATTCATCAAATTTTTATTGTCTTTTTTTTTAATTTTGCATGTCTGCTTAGTTTCAAAATGAAAAAGGCACGTGGGTCACAGGGTACTTAGCAGTGGTCAATGCACAAAAACTCGTGAAAGTGACTATCGACGAGTGTTCTCACATGTTTATTCCTAGCTTCGAACTTATTGCCATCAGTGAAGATCTTGTAATGGAGATAAGTCATCTGCCAGCTGTTCATCCATCAAATTTTAGAGAAAACCAACTGAGCCCATTGGAGCTGCTGAATTGCATGAAAAAGTACGAACTGGAAGGACTCTTTCCAAATATGTGCGTCAGTCTGCATATTCTGTTGACAATTCCTGCCACTGTCACCTCTGCAGAGTGCTGAAGCAAGTGAAAAAAAATCTAAGATCCACTATCTCACAAGCGCGACTAGTACATTTGGCAAGACTAAGTATTGAGTCTGATCTAGCGTAACAGATTAATTTTGATTATGTAATTCAGAGTTTCCCCAGGAAAAAGGTCAGAAAAACATCTTTGTTCAACAGACAATAAATGCTATTATAAACATCTTTTACTATTATAAATATATTACTTTATTATTACATTTATACCTATACATACTTATCTAAATGTATAAATGTAATCTACAATTGTTATAAATAAATAATAATATACACACATACATGCGTGTAGAATTTTGTATGAGGGCCCACACACCTTCTTCGTACTGGGGCCCGGATTTTCTCTCGGCAGCAGATCAATGTCAAAATAACTGGTTTTATTTTGTGCTGTATACAATGTGCATTGACATTGTAACACAAGTCCATTCATAGGACATAAAACAAAACAAAAAAAAAAAAACCAGTAATGGCTTCTCTGGAACAGCCTCCAAAATGCCAAGAATATTCACAGGAGCTCTACTTAAAAAAGAATAGTATGAATTTCACAAAGGCGGCAAAACTACAATGGAAGAATGATGAATTGATCATGATTAAAAAGATGAAGGCTGCCCTGGAAGATGGAGGGAGGAAGCAGAGGAAGGAATAAACTGACGTTGCTTCTTAACAGATGGCAGATCTTCCTATTGAGAGCAGCAGCTCAGCCAGACAGAGGAGGGAGAAAGCGAGAGAGAGTGAGAGAGAGCGAGAGAGAGTGAGCGAGAGAGAGGCAGCCGTCAAAATGTGTGCGTTATGAAATCATGCAAAAGTGTTCCCAGAAAGTTGCCGCAGGACCAGGGCTCATAGCAGAAGAGGGAAGAACAAGTGGATTTGAGGCAGGTGTTTATGGACACACACACACACACACACACACACACACACACACAGAGATAACTACAACTGTGCCCCGGATGAATGGATGGATAGACGGACGGATGTACATTTATACCTGAATAATGTGTTTGTGCTACAGACGCCCACAGAGAATGCTGGGAAGGGTAGCGCTATCGCCCCCTGTCAGTGGGGTTCTGCAAGAGTCTGTGGCGGTCAGTGATCCCACACACACACATCGCACTTTTCAAAGGTCGGCGCCGACCACGTGGATGCAGAGACCATATGGCTGGTGCAGGAGACGAGCCCCCAAAAAACCAAAACCAAAACACAAGAGGGCAGAAGGTTCCAGAGCACCCTTTAGAGCGAGAGGCTGCTTTATGAAAGGGCTGCCAGAGGGCCACAGTTTAATATTAAAGCTCGACCGTGGCTGCGGTCACTGTGACTTTTCATGTTTGGCTGCGCTGCAACCCTGCCAGAACCTGCCTGTTGTACCTCATGTCCTTGAAAGTATTTTGTGTTTTTTTAAATCTCCATGAAGACCTAATTTCCTTGGGCTTACAGTGAGGCCCGATTCACACTGGGCCTGATGGGAGGGCCTTCCTGAAGGCAGCAGAGGCTCATCTCAGGCCTGGCGGGCAGCAGGCACGAGTAACGTGGCCAAGTGTGAGCACAGAGAGGGTGGCATGTCAGACACACACGCCTGTGCATATGAGTAGATGCTGTCCCCTGATAAATGGGTTTGATTTCTGTTTAATCAGATAAGCAGTCTGTCACCAGCCTCAAGGAAGAGGTACAAGACATTCTGTAGCATAGCAACACCTAAGGTGGTCTGCCCATCCATCCATCCATCCATCCACCGACCTACCTTGCTGGCAGGGATGACATTTGCCATCCCGTGTGGCTCTCCTGTCACGGCCAGTAGCATTCCCGCTAAATCCTCCCCCAGTGAGCAGAGTCAGCAGTGTCAGTAACAGATTTGTTTTTGATCTGTCTGTGAGACACTTGCTACGGCCCAAACTCAGACAGTGCTGGGTGTCACCCTGTGACCTCCGCAGCATTAAGGCCGTTACTGGGGCAGGGTTACAAGCGCAAACAGCTCTGTGAATGTGACCTGTGACAGCCTGCAAAGCCGAGTGAGAGACAGGGAGGCAAATAGCAGACAGAGCGGAAGTGGGGGGGGGGGGGGGGGGGGGGGGGGGGGCAGAGGAGTGTACATCACTCAGGCACAAAGCGAAAAGCGAGGGAGGATATTGCAGATGTAACTTACGAACTGTGACATCGTGCTTCAATTTCCCACCCTACACAGACCGGCGTGGTGTGGGGAACAGACTCATTCAAGGACTTTGGCTTTGACCTTGATCACAGTCTACACCTTGCTTTTAGCAAGGAAGCCCACACTATCTTTTTCTATAATACTAGCGTGCCCAGCAGGGGGGGGGGGGCAGCCAGTTGACCTTAGACCCTCAGAGGTTTTTCTTCTGCCTACTTGGGAGTCTTTGGTTCCTCTACTCTCCTGTCCATCTGGCTTCCTTTCTCTTTCATTTCTTTCTCTTTGCTTTTCCCTGTTTTTGTATCATTCTGTCTAAATTATGTTGTAAAATATCCCCATGAAAGGCACCTTGGGGCGACTTGTGAAAGGCGCTATATAAAAATGAATTGATTTGAAGGAGGAGAGGAAGGCGCAGGAAGATGGAAGGTCACTAAGGGCAGAGGGAAGCACTCAGGGCAACAGGCAGCTTCTTTGGGTGGCCTGTCACGGATACAGGCTCCACACAGGAGCTTAAAGGAGTTAATCCACATTTATGTCAATTTCATTGGGATAAAGGGAGTACTTTGCTGATTTGTTGACCTGTAAGTGTAGTGATGCTGAAAAACGTCAAAAAGCACGGTCCTTACATTTCTATTATTTATATTATTCTGTATATATCAGACAGGACATCCCTCCAAAGTAGCAGGGACAGAAACAGTCTGTTCTTCAAATGCCAGACTCCCGCTCTGGGGCACCTGTCAAGCCACACTCACACCATTATTGGGATCATCACATACGCGTGTAGGAACCTTCCTGAAATCGATAACTGGGTGCAAACAGCATGTGGCGCGCGATGAGATGAGTGGTTATGTAAGGGGGGGTGTGGGGGCTGGTGGGTGAGCCGTAACGAGATGCCGTGTGATCCGGGGGAGGTTGGGTGCAGGCACACAGGACGTCTCACACAGCGTCCGGACACGTCTGCGGGCCGGGTGGCAGAAGGCAGCGCTGGCAGCCAAGCAGAGAACTGCTCATGATTTATGGGTGCAGTCAGACGTGCTGCATGCAGGCTAGGGCTAAGCTGGCAGGACGTCTCTGCAAACGACCTGCCTGTCATTAATACGCGATACTGTCCAGTCACATGCTCCGGTGCCACCGCTGGGTTTGGGTGCAGATCCGGTCCTTGTTTGAAGGCAGTCCAGCAACCCTGCTCCGGGTTAATCTCACCAACACGTCACCGGATTCTTTGTAAGGTAAAGGAAGCTGGCAGACAAATGCCGGCACCTGATCTGTCTAATCCCACCGCTATTCCAATAGCTGACCTCTGATCTTGCCGCCTGTCCACGGTCTGTGCGAGCAACCAACAGGCCATCAGCATGCACAACCCCAAGCCCAGCAGACACCAAACCTCCCATCCCAACACACTATGGGACTTGTCCATGGATCATAAAAGCTGAACAAAGTGATACTCGATACTGTAGGGGGTGTGAGACAGAGAAAGAGCCCCCCCTGAAAGAGGTAAGGAGGTCAGTAACCTTTGAAGCGAGGAAGTGCGTGACACGCTCCCCCAGACAGCGAGGTGCCTGCAATTACCATGAGAGCCACAGTCCTGGTGCTACGAGGAGAGCAGGCCAGGTTCAGCAGGCCGGGCTCAGCAGGCCGAGCTCAGCAGGCCGAGCTGTAACACGTGACTACACAAGAGCATGTCATGTAACAACGCTGACAGACGCACGTCAAGCTGCACCATATCTGATCTTCCAGTATTTAACATTCCCGGGAAATACAGTCACTGTTTCTTCTCCCACACATACACATACATATATGCCTAATGAGGTTCATCTAATGATGCAAAACGCTGTCATATTGCTCCCGATCACGCTATGTGGGTCACAAGTAAAATACCCTCCAGACAAAAGTCTTCTGAAATAAAACAAAAACTTCCGAAATAAATTCAATAAGCAATCTATCATTTTTTTTTATGAGGTAGGATTTCAAATGACACTGTGAGGAGCAGGCTGACACAGGGCAGAGAACAGTCACCAAAACCGTGACCCGAGAAGAAGACAGGAAAATTAGGAAGAGAGGAAAATTAGGGGAGGAAGTAACTCAATTTAGACAAACAAAAAGCAGTTTTCCACAAATAAAACATTTAATCACTGTTTAATTATGAAGTACCATCATGATTATATTTTCATAAATGTATTTCACGACACCACAGTGGACCAGGTATGACTATAAAACATAACTAACCCAACTGCAGGCACGACACTTCAGCCAATCAAGTTTCAAGAGAGAGGGAAGACATGTGGATCTTATCGTTACAGCTGCTTTCCACTAAAACACATAAAACAGGTAAAATCACACAAGATTCTCTGCACGGGAGAGTAGCTTACAGCCCTTTGGTGTGCGGCACGTGGCCACATCCTTTAAGGGGGAGTTGGAATTACCAAGATAACTCCCGACACTCTTTTCACTAAAATTCCCAAATTCCCAGTCATATATCTATCTGTCAAGGTGCAAAGTAAAACACAGGCAGGAACTGAAGACGAAGTGCAGAGTAGGGCTTCAAAATTACAGGTTATAAGACATAAATGAAAGAATGTGTGCACATACAGTAAGTAAAGCTCAGTGCCAAATATATTGTGGATTATTTACAATAGAGCAGAGCACTCTGCCTCCTTGCACAGTGTCCCATGTCAGTGTGCACGTGCACCTTGTGCCTGGAGAGTGTGAGTGTCACCATGTCAGCCCGTCTTGGGGAGGGGTCACACCTGCAGGACAGAGCACGTGGGAGTGGGGCACTGACCCTAACGCCCACGTGATACGGGATGGCTGACGAACCTCCTGCTCTTAAGACAGTAAAAAGTCAGAAACAGTTAAACGTGCCCAAATTTGGTGATTTATTTACCCCAAATTTGAAGGAGTTTCCATGTGTTCCTCAAATGCCTCGCGGTTACTTTTTTCTCTCGAGCACTTTCTACGAGTAAAAACGTGCTGGAACAGAAAAAACTGCGGCTGCTTGGCCAGGACTGGCTCCTCACGTTCAAGGGTAGTTCACAAATCGTCCCTAATGGGCCCCGATTTGCTCCGTGCACGGCTCCGCTGGCTCCTTGGCCGCCCCCCCAAACACATCGATACCGCGGTTGGTCCACGGCACCACGTTGCCCAGCAGAGCTGAGCTGCAGGTCGCCAGGTCCGCCACCTCCGAGGATGACAGCACCCGGTCCCAGAGGTTAAATTGAGAGAGCTCCCCCACCATGGCTTGGGAAGCATCGAAGCGACCGCCCATCGCATCCTAATTGGGGTGGGGGGTGCAGGGGGAGCAGAACCAAGAGGGGAAAAAATGGGAAAGATGAAGTGAATTGGTGGGTGACATGGGAACTGGCAGGAGGGGTGAGAGGATGAAAAGAAAAATAGTGTCTAATAGCCAAAATCAGCACCTATTCCCTCCTCACCTGCTCCTGCCCCAAGATAAGCATGCCCCCGGGCCGGATAGGGTGCCAGGCAGCCAGACCCTCTCCTTCCCCCTTCAGTGTACCACCTTGGTAGGCCTGCCACACCCCATCCCTCAAGCTCCAAGTCACACACAGGTGCTGCCATTTGCCTGGCTGTGGGGCTAGAGGCAGCTGTGCCACCTGCAGGCAGGAGGATAAAACAGCATGTAACAGTAGTGAAATGTTGACGCAATAAGAGGTTTCCAGAAACATCATGTGAGCGACCAAATATCCACCCGCAAATGTGCATCACGGAACGGCAAACCAGAGTGTGGGTCTCCACCTTGTCATTGATGAGGATCTCCACGGGGTTGTGCACACCCTGCAGCAGCACCAGCTCGTTGGGCTGCTCTGGGATGGAGTAGGAGAAGGGTGTCCCCAGGCCTGAGCCCTTGGGGCGGAGCCACAGGCAGGCAGTCATGGCGTACATCTCCGGGATGGGGTGCCGCACCACGCCATACATGTAGTCAGTCCGCACCGGGAACAGCAGCTTGTAGCTCTCTGGGAAGTTATACCCGGACAGACCTGAGAAGGAGCACAGAAGACAAAAAGAAGCACGTGGCTCGAGATGGGTAAAGGAGCACGGCATGAGCCATACCCTGATGAAGCTTATAGCATGAAGTGGGCAGAGAGCACCCCACGCTAAGCCCGAAAATGAATAGTGAGCCTTTATCCAGAGTGACGGCCCCAGCTTATCGAATTTCACGCCTGGAAGCGATTTCGTTTCGGTGTGGGTCATGTCAGTTGTCCAGGCCTGGTACAGTGGCTCTGCCTCTTCCAGAGCTCCCGGCCGCCCTGTGAAGCCCCTGGCCCCCCACAGTGCGAACCCTGAACACTTGGGAGCCTAATCAAAGCTGAGTGGCGAGCTTGATCTCCACCCCTCCTAACAAATTGGGGCTCCTTACTGAAACCAAAAAGGTTCACTTAAAAAAAGTTTGTTTAATTGCAGACCTGACAACAAACAAGGGATGATGAACAATCAAGCCCCTGTGCAGAAATGCACACGCTGTGTCTAACCTCAAATGCAGCTGAAAGTAAAAGTTTCCCACTCCAACAGACATTTAAAATTACGTCCATAACTGTATAGAAAAAGTAAATATGATTGTATAACATAACCTGACTGATGTTAATACAGGCATTTTGTAAATCACCTAAGTCACCCCCAGGATCAGCCCCTGCAAACACATCTCTGTTAAAGAGCGTGGTCTTACTCTGCTCCAGGTGATCAATGCTGCGCCATAGAGAGTCGGCATCCTCTGGCGCCTCCTGCTGGCGGCCCCTCTCCCCTTCCAGCTGCTGCACCTTGGCCTCAAGCTTGCCCCCCAGCTTGTCCTGTGGTCGTCGAGATGGTGCCTTGGTCCAGGTGCCCCGGCTTCCTGGGAGTCCCTCCTGACCTTTCTGTGGTGCCCCCGTGTGGTTCTGGGATGTAGGCGGCGTGTCAGTCTGCCATTTAAAGGGACATAAGGGACAGCCACTATTTTCATCCGGTGTTATAGACTCTCATTCTTGTTGATTTCATTAATACTTGTATGATTAACAGCAGCTTAAACCAACATCATTGACACATTGCTCACATATAAGGAGGCAATTTGTCATGTTTTGATCTTCATAACAATAGTAATTACAAAAAAGTGACAGCTGCCTGGATTTATTGCTCAAGGACAAATTCAATGCAAGCAAAGCTAACAAAGGATTTTAAATAAGGTTTAAGAAAAATATTACTAACGGAGAACTGGAAGGATAGAGAGAAGGAGAGGAAGTGGGAGAGAGAGATGAAGAGGCAGCGAGGGTGAAGAAGAAGAGGGAGAGAGAAAGGGAGGAGGGGAAGTCAGAGAGAGAGGGAAAGAGAGAGGGAGATTGACAGAAGGAGAGGAAGAGAGGGAGAGGGGAGACAGGAAGAAGGAGAGAGGAGGAAAGAGAGGGAGTGGAAGAGGGAAAGAAATAGAGGGAAAGAGAGAATGAAAGGCAGAAAGAGGGAGAGAGATAGAAAGAGGCAGAGGAAGGGGAGAGGGGAGATGGAGAAGGTTAAGAAGAGGGAGAGGGGAACATTGTTTCATTTACCATTCCTGTCTATTTTTTCTGTGCTTCATAGGACACACACTAACGCTCAGATGCAGAAACACAAACATAGAGTAAATGTTACATATCTACTTAACAGATATAGAGGGATTATTCCTAACAAGTGCGGCAGAAACAACTTCAAAAGAAGAAGGATGCCTACAGTATAACTACGCTGCGTGGGACAAGAGCTTACATAGTATTAAGCTCATGATGCAGCAGTCTGCCCCAACGCTTTGTATCCGTCACAAATTGAAGTGCAAACATACAATACGTTTATAACGTAATTTAATCCATGTATAAAGAAAAACTAATATAAACGCAATGCGTGATTTTTGTAGTAACAGATTTAGCGAACAGTAACCAATCTTCTCATTGAGCATGAGATCCAACATTAATAGCATTATGAACCCGCGACCCTGACAAGTATAAACAGTTGGGAAATTGATGCATGGACAGTAGTATATATTATATATATATATATATATATATATATATATATATATATATATATATATATATATATATAATCATTACTAAATGAAAAACCGTTGTAATGCCTCACACTCAGATGCCTTTCTTTTCAGAGTAAGGAGTATAACTTTAAATCCACACACGTGGACTAAAGATATCCTACACAGGGTAAATATCCTCGATCCTTACCTCCAGTTTCTCAATGCGATCCTTCATCTGAACGATGGCCTGCTCCAGCTCCTCCAAGACGAGGGTGCTCTGCTGTTCCGGCACGCCGGGTGACATATGGCCGTTCCCGGCCAAGAGTCGCCGTCTGTTCCCCCAAAGCCCCGCGCTCCGCCCCGGATAGCTGCGCTCGCCCAGTCCGATCTCGCACTCGGACAGCTTCCCGGTAAGCTCCTGTATTGTCTGTTGATCTGAAAGTATCTGGTCCTTCTGCTGCAGGATGGTCTCCTGGAGCTGCTTGGCCGTGGCGCTCAGATAACTCCAATCTTCGTCTGAGTGCAGCGGCGGACTGGCACTCTGCTTCAGGAAGGTCTTTGGGTTGCATTCGCCGGCAGGAACGGGGGTGCATATGAGGCGGCTGAAAGTAACCTGCTGTCTTCCTCCTGAACCAGCTCTGCCCGAATTACTCAGCCCGTTGACAACAGAAGCCCCTATCCCCTCTTCCGTTTCAGCACCGTGGAGAGCACCCATCGGTCCAGCCTGAGCCAAGGATCCCTCCGGAAGGGTCTCCAGAACCGAGTCATGGGACAGCGACTCGTTGTCCGAAAACGCCTGGGGTGCGGCAGAAATAAATCCGGGATGGACCGCGGCAATGATGCAGATGACCGCGCCGAGGAAGGCCAGCATCCCCGCGGCCAGAATAATAACGAGGAACTTCAGGGTGGCGGAATCCGCGGTCGGTCGCAAGAAGGAAACGGGCGACTTGGGGGAGAGTTTATTTAAGGAAAAAACGCTCACCAGTCCAGATGCTTAAGTCTGCAATCATACCTCAATTCAGTACGGATATATTTCTAAGCTCTGTCGGCTGGACCAGGGAATGATGCTGACCTGCGTCTCTTTACCCCTTTAGAAAATATAAAAACAAAAAGTCGAAATCCGATCGCTTCTAGTGAGCATCACCGCAGATTTGCGACGCTCGGTTATTGCTGAACAAATGTGGTGCCTCGAGTCTCCTACTGGGTGTCTTGCTGGGCACCTTCTGTTTTCCTGAGCTGCTAGGCTCTTCGTGGCAATCGGGACTACGAGAAAGAAAGAGTGAGTGTGTGTGTGTGTGAGGGAGAAAAACAGAAGGGAGAGGGAACAGTATGAGTGACACCCGCATCATAGATAAATCATCACAGGAAAAAAGTGAGATCCCGTTCCGCACGTCGGACCAGATCCTCACTCCCGGAGCACAAGTTACTGCTTGTGTGAATAAATGCTTTGCGATATCTTCTGATGACCTCTCCCTACATTAATATTAACAACACGTCTGTGTGCTCAGATCTCGGGCGAAATGCCACCTTCCACTCCCCCTGGATAGGAGGAGGGAGGTGTTGCCATGAGTGTTTGTGCGGGGGGGGGAAACAAAGAGTGTTGGTGGGTAAAATTTTCTTCGCTTAGCGGAGTAATCGCTGGGATTAGGAGCCATATTCATTCACTCGGAGTTTAGGGGATACAACACCGCATTTCTGTGCAAAAAGAAATAGCAGACAGAACAGTCCTAAGAATTCAAATGAAAACGCACAGAAAAACAACAGAAAAACGATTAAACAAAGCAAAAAAGTATCCATCAATTTCCCAACACTATGAGTGGAGACCCAAGTAAAATACATGAGTAATACACCAATATTATCTGTTAACAGCCAACAAACGTCCCGGACCGATACGTATTTGACTGCTATATTGACTGCAAAGTTAAAAGTAGCGCAAAGATATAGATATTTAAGTAACATTAATTTTGTAAAATTTAAATTCATGTTTAGTTTTTTCAGAAATAGATTAAAATGCAAAATGAGCAGCATTATTTTAAAAATTATTTTAAATACTTTTGATGAGCTCTGAATATTTCAGGCGTGTTACTACCGCCACCTGGTGCTTAAGCACGGCAATACTGCTCTCGTCGCTTTTTTTTTTTTTGCAACCGTACACCAGAACAGAAGGTGTATAGGGGTAGCTGGAATGTTACTTGAAACCCTAAATTCTTTCAATAACATAGAAAATTAAATTACATTTCATATCATCAGCAATACACAAAATGCAAAAAACGCAACAGTGATTTTCACCAAAATCCAGACAAAACGGTATATCAATCTAAAAAGTCTTTACAATTCCTTTTTTTTTTATTAAAAATGTAATACAAGAAACACAAACATGACGAATGAGCTGTACAATTAAACATGCTTCTAAATACATTAGCCGGCGTTAACACCAACATTATGAAAAGCATTTCACGGTACAACGTGCCTCAGAGACCAGCTGGGCGCTAAAAAGGCCCATGCGTCATATACAGATGGTCCCTGTCGCTCAACCACATGGCATCATACAAAGACCACTATGAGGGAAGGCAAGGAAACCTTTGGCACTTACTGTTCAATCCAGCTGCAGCACAGTAACCGTAACCACTGAGCTCATGTATGAAAAATCGCAATTTTTAAAGTAATTCGCTTAACAGTCCCAGTAGACAGATCAGGCTGTAAATAAGAATATTAAAGGCACTTCCACTCCTGTGCCTTCGGGTGGCGCTGACTTTTGTTTTGTGACACCACAGTAGACACCCCCCTGTGTGCTAATTATGGCCAGCCAACACACCAGAGGGTGTTACGATATCAGCTGTTGAATGCCAAAAAAAATTGACCATACACACAACGGCTCTTCAACAAGCCGGACAACTCTGTGAAAATGCAGCGGAATTGAACAGCGATACCAAGGGGG